AAAAAAAAAAAAAAAAAAAAAAAAGCTCTGTTGGCAAGAGTGTGGGGAAATGGGTATTTTCCTAGTTTCTTAGTGGGAGCGTTAATTGGGTCATTTGACAGAGACACGTCCTTTGATCCAGCAATGCCACATCTAGGAATTTAACAAACAGGTTGCACTCAGATGTGTTCAAATATATGAATACATCACCACAGCTTTGTTTTTGTAACAAAAGATTAGGAACAGCATGTATGTTCATCAGTAGTTGCTATGTTAAATGAGTTTTTATGGTTCATCCATGTAGCAGAAATGTTAGAAGGGGTGGTTTAGATCTTTTGTGTTGTCAGGAAACTCTGAGATGCTGCTAAGCGGAGAATGCAAAGGGCAGGCCAGTGTCTATCTCTGTACCACTGGGGCCTAGCAGAGTGCCTGGCACACACTGGTCCATAGTTAACGTTAGCCAAGGGACTGGATACACATATGACCATGACTGCTGTGAGCCAGGCTCTCAGGAAACAGTCGGGTTTAAGATAAAGAAAGAGGTCAGATTTTGCACCTCTATCAAATGTCTAAGGTCACCCTTCCATGGGTTCATATATTTGCATTTTCCCTCAAGATGCATGTCTCTGTACACTATTGAATAAGACTCTCTGAAGCAATAGAAGAAAAAATTTTCATAAAAGAATGACCAAGAGAATTTGCTGACCCAAGGCAAGAACTGTGACTCAATAGCAAATGTAGCTCCAGGCTTCCTGGCAACCATGGCAAAAAAGGAAACTCTAATGCACAGAACTTTTGTTACCTAGTAGAAGGAAGGAAAGACACTAATTCCATACGAGCCACACATACAGCCTGGGAGGTGATGTGCTTAGTAGTCCCAGATAGCAGGCTGAGAAGCTTATCTTCCTAGTTACATTTATGGTCACATCCAGTCAACAACAGACCACATACATGATAGTGGCCCCATAAATATTTCTCATAACGATGTTGTAGCCACCTTAGTTTGGGTATTTTGAAAGGATCGCCTCGCAAAGCATTTCTCTGAACTCATCCCCTTTTCATCTTCTGCCTCAAGAACTGTACTTGCTCAGTGGTACATTAAAGCATGGTGCTTTCGTGAGGGGAGCTTGGGTGCATGAAGGAACTTTATGAAAAACTTCCATGAATTTTTAGGGTAACCCAAGGTGAGGGCATTGCAAGCTTTCTTTGGGCTCCTCTGATTGTGTCTCAGTCTCCCGGGTAAAGGTGTGACCTTGGACCAGTCACATCTCTGGGCTTCATTATCCCCATCAGGGAAAAATGACTATTGTGCAGATAAAATGAGATGACGCCCAGAGTGCTCCCGCGGATAAATGCTTCTGCTATGCTGCTGTTTACGTTACCATCATGTCAAGGCCTGATGGCTACAAAAGTAGAGTCTGGAGCCAGATTGCCGAGATTTGCATCTCAGCTCCTCCACTTAGCGGCGAGGTGACCTTGGGTAAGGTCACTTAGTGTCTGTGCCTTAGTTTCCTCCTTGGTAAAATGCAGGCTAAATGGGTCGAGAGCTGTAGGGCCTACGGAGATAGGCCTGGGCATGGAGTATGTGCCTTGCGCTTTATAAATAAAGCATGGTTTGTTCCCTCTAGCCTTTAAGGCCCTTTAGAAAAAAGAAAATAAAATGACAGCCTCAAAAACCAGCTAATTCCGACACTAATTTTTGAAAGGACTGGATCTCTGTAATATCAGTTACGCCAGGAGGTGTTTCCTTAGAAGATGGAGAAGTGTCAGTGTATTAGTAATGGTGGCGTCCGTGGCAGGTGACCACGGCAGGCGCTCTGGGGGGCACAGGCCACTCCCCGGCTCCCCGCACCTTCCCGGCACCGGAGCGCACAGGAGGGGTGGGAGGAGCACGGAGCTCCCGGGATCCCCTCGCCCCCTCCCCCACCGCCCAGTGAGTAATGACATTCGCGGGGAAGGGGGAGGGAAAGAGAGGGACAGGCTCGGCGAGGCCATGTGATGCTGGGCGAGAGAGCCGCCGCCGGAGCCGCCTTCTTCCTCCTCGGATCGCGGCCGCCATGGCGACCCCCAACAACCTGACCCCCACTAATTGCAGCTGGTGGCCCATCTCGGCGCTGGAGAGCGATGCGGCCAAGCCGGCCGAGGCACCAGACGCGCCCGAGACCTCCCGCCCCGCCCATTGGCCCAAGGAGAGCCTGGTTCTGTACCACTGGACCCAGTCCTTCAGCTCGCAGAAGGTAGAGCCGCGCGGGGCGCCGAGGCGGGGGACCCGGGGCCTGGGGGCCTGCGCGCCGGGCAGGGATCGGACTGGCCTGCCTGGGCCCAGAGCAGAGCGTCCAGCTCTAGGAACGTCCATTCCGCCTGTCCCCTCCGAGGCAAAGCCGGTGGGGGGGGGGGCTTGGAAGAGAGACAAAGACCAGGGGAAGGGAAGGGGCGCTGCTGGGAAGGCGCAGCATGGAGGGTGCTGCCCCGGAGGGAGGGGAAGCGCTCCCTGGGAGAAACGTCCCGAACACGGCGGCCGCCCTGGTCACAGCTCCATGCCCCTCTGTCCTGGCTGGGGCCCTCTCTGGCTGGGGTTTGGGATGTCTGTCCCCAGCCATGCCCCCTTCCCCTTATCTGGAGGAGCGAAGGAAGGAGTTAACACATCCCCTCAGACCAGCCCCACTCTCCCAACAGATCTGCTGTGCTCTGCGCTTAAAGGCACAGACCGGCTGTCCCCCTGGAATCCTTTATGGGCCCATGGGAGCGGGGGTGGGGGGGCAGTTGGAAATCCTGCCTGGTGCTGAGTTATGAGGGTCCCCACTTCCTACGAGTGAGGCCAAGGATCTCCCACCCCGTCCTTTCTCTGGGGCATGCTTCAGCACCATGGCCAGAGCCCAGAGGCAGGTCTGGCTGCACCGCTGCCTGACCCCTCTGACTTTCCTCTCCTTGAAAGAGCCTTTTGTTCCATTCACTCGTTTTACAGATGAAAAGACAGATTCTGTGCAAAGAAAGGGCTCTGGAACCTAAAGACCTGGCTTTGAGTCTTGGACCAGGTGGTTTCATCGTCCAGAAAATAGGATAATGCTAGTGATAGTAGCTGTCTCGAATTCCAGCCCTCTCAAGAGGGCTGCAAACGTTGAAGGGGTGGCATAACTTGGTGTTCCAAACGGGCCCTACTCACACCTGAGCAGGCCCAGTTAACTGAGAATTACCCAGTGATCCCAGTTAAGACTCCGCCTGCTGGATTCGGCCCCAGAGGGCCTAGTTCTATGGCCTGGTCCAGACACTGCCTCTCCAACAGGCCACTGGGTGATGCTGAGGAAACTGGGCCACTGGCCACCTCTGAGTAGCTCAGTTTAGGGTCTAGACTCTGAGGCCAGACAGACCTGGTGAGACAGCCTCACTGTGGAGCTGTGCACCGGTCACTCTGCCTCTCCAGAGCCTCAGTGGTATAATCTGTATGAGGGGCTAGTGCAGTCATTTCCAAAGAGGGCTATTATTAAGGTGAAGTGGCATGGTACACAAAAAGTACTGCTGTTGCTGCTGCTGCTGCTGCCTGGAAAGGGACACAGCTCTGTTAATAATGGGTGTTATGCGAGCCTGCCTTTCAAATGCAAGGTCCTAAGTCCAATCCCCAGTACCTAAATAAATAAATAAATAAAATAATGGGTGTTGTGTCGCTGAAGTGCTAGGTAGTGGGCCTGGAGTGCAGCTCAGCATAGAGCTCATGGCTAGCATGTGCAAGGCCCTGGATTCAATCCCCAGTGTGTGCATGTGCACACACACACACACACACACACACACACACACACACACACAGGTAAGTAACCAAGGGCCTGAATCACCCAAGGTCATCCTGGGACTCATCCATAACTCTGCACATGCTTGCTGAGCACCTTCTGCATGCCAGGCCCTGTGTAAGACATGGCATTTGCAGATGAATCAGACTGATCTCCAGATTCCAGAACCTCCTTCCACCCAGACCTTCAGGAATCAGGTCCCAGTTGCTGGACCTGGACAGGGAGCAAGGGGAAGGGATATCCCATCCCCATCCCCTGAGGGAGCCTTCTGCTCTTCCCTCACAGAACATTTCCTATTCAGCTTGAGAGGCCCTGTAGTCGGAGATGGGACCACCCACTGCAACCCTACTTTTGATCACGTCATCACCACGCTCCCAACTCCAACTACTTTTGACTATGTCTCCACCAAGCTAGCCTGTACATCGTCCTCCCTCTCCTGCCTGGGTCTCCCCAAAGGGAATTCCAGCGACAGTGCTACCTGGCCCAAAGGGCGTAGGCTCAGCACTCACATGGCTTTGGGTTCCAGTCTCATCTTTGCTGCTTACTGGCCAAGTGACCTAGGAAGAGTCACTTTATCTATCTGAGCCTCATCAGCTTATCTGGAAAAGGGGACTTTGCATTCTTCCTGCTTAATTCCTGGGGACTTCAGAGAACACAGGCAGATATTAAGCACCTGCCATGCAGTAGGAGCTTAGCAGGGAAGGTCCTTGCTGTCCTTCCTCCTTGAAGAGCCTTGCTCACATGCATATAGGCTTCCCATTGTGAAAAGCTTGCCCTTAATGGCACAGGACCTATTAATAGCACTAAAGAGCTCACCTACAGGTGAGATGGGCAGTGCTCTAGGCATCTGGGGGCTGTTCCAGACCCAGAGGACTTCAGAACAGTGCAGGGGTCCAGACCCCCAACTCTGGGGCCAGATAAGCTGGGCTTCAAGCTCAGCTCTGCCTCTGATCAGTTGGGTCTCCCTGCACAAGTACTTTAAACTCCCCTGCCTCCGTTAACCAGTCTGTAATTGAGAATAATGATACCACCTCCTGGACAGTCTTTGCAAGGATTCACAGGACAGAAGTGAATCGTCTAGAATAGCATGCAGTAGACAGGATGTGCTCAGTAAACACCAGTGTGGTTATAAGTCATGGGCGTAGGAGCTGGGGATGTAGCTCAGTGGTGCTGTGCCTGCCTCAGAAGCGCAAGGTCCTGAGTTTGATCCCTGGTACCAAAATAGACAGATAGATAGATAGATAGATAGATAGATAGATAGATAGATAGATAGATAAGACTTGGGCTGAGGGATCAGCCAGACTCAAGGCCCAGCCCCACCCTGCTGCTTCTCAGTCATGTGTGGTGTCTTTATCTTTCCAGATCTCACTTTTCTCAGTGGTAATGGCAGTCAGTACCTTTCCTGATCAGAGGGTGTGTGGATTGGGTGACATCACACACAGTCACATGCTAAGCATTACACTTTACACAACAGCATCTTAACAGTGATTTTTTTTTTTTTTTTTGAGACAGGGTCTCACTTTGTAGTTCAGGCTGGCCCTGAACTCACTAGGAAGCCCAGGCTGGCCTTGAACCTGTGGTGATCCTCCTGCCTCAGCTGGGATTTCAGGCACACACCACCACGCTTTTAACAATGAATTTCCAAACACCGTCACAGGTGATGATTTGGGGCCACTGGGTCTGCAGAAGGCTCCAATGTGTGGTATAATGTGAATGTGCTTCCTGCCTCAGCCCTCTCTAGACCTTTGTGGGGCAGCAGTGAGGTTCAGAGGGACAAAGATGCATGGACTCAGAACAGGACTGCAGGATTGGCAATCCCACTACCTGGCTGTACGATCTAACTCGCTCTGCTCTTTGGTTTCCTCAGTGGGAAAATGCACTAGAAGCCAGGAATGGCGGTGCAAGCGGGTAAGCCCAGTACTCTTGGAGGCTGAGGCAGGAGGATGGCAAATTCAAGCCCAGCCTGGGCAAATTAGCCAGATCCAGTCTCAGTAAAAAAAAAAAATAAATAAATAAATAAAATAAAATAAAAAGGACTGAGGATGTAGCTTAGTGTGAAGAGCCTGGATTTAACCCCTAATATTGCTAAATTAGTTAATCAGGTAATTAATTAAATGCATTAAAAGAAAAAACACTGGATTTGTGATATAACCTGCCTGGCTGCCTCTCTCTCCAAGCATGGAAACAACTCTTCCTGTCTGTATCCCCTGCCTTTTGTACACCCTCTGTCCTCATACTTTCTAGCTTTTTAGAAACCAGGATTGCTACTTGCTAGCTGTGTGACTTTGAGCAGGTGACTTACTGTCTGGGCCCGTGTCGTCTTTTGTAAAATGAGGATATTTGTAGCTGCTAGTGCCCACATCACTGAGTGTTTAAAGAGGCTAAATGAATGAATACATGTAAAGCTCTCAAGACAGTGTCAGGCACAGAAGCCCTCTGTGGACATTAGCTGTTGATATCTTGTGATCTCCACCACAGTGTGTCTCTCAGGGCATCCCTGGCTCCCTGCGGCAAGCCAGCCTCAGTGTCCCCTAGCCCCATTCTGTCCAGTTCTGCTTTGGTCTAAGATGGACCCCCGGGAGTCCCTCGTTCAGTCTTCAGCCCCCAGGGCAAAAAGACTGAGGTCTGGTCCTGCGAAGGACCAATCCTGACTCCCAGGCTTGCACGAGAGAAGGAAGAGGTGGAGGCTGACCTCTGCCTCCCACACGAGTCTTGCCTGCACACTCCTGGGCTGCACCCCGCAGCATTATCCCTGCTGTACTTGGCCGTTTGCCACGCTCTACCCTGCCAAGAAGAGGCCCACAGTGAGAACTGATAGGGCAGCTCCAGCCACCACTCTCCTGCTCAGGAACCTGCAGTGGCTCCCCAGTCCCTCTGGGAAAGCACCAGGGTCCCACAGTGGCCTCAGGCCCTACTGCAGGTTTGTTTCCATCCTCACTTGAATCAAGGCAAAATCAGGGAGAACTTATAGGCCCTTCTCAGAGTGTCTCTGAGTAAGATATAATGCATAGGATTGCTAGAGAAAAAAGGAAACTAATCATACTGAAGTACAGCTATCGAAATATTTTACAAACAAATGTGTTACATAATGACACGGGTGTTTCTGCATTAACCCATTATATAACACGATCTAGTGGCAGGTCTGCTCAGTGCTGTCATGCAGAAGTCGCGATGAGTGTACATATTTGGAGGTAACTGCAGCAACTGTGAAGCGGGCTGACACTGCCGTACTTTGCCACCCACGTCTGTAGCAGAAGAGCTACACTGCGCCAGTTCCCACTACTGAACGTGGACACGCCACCTCCCCAGCCCAGTCCACAGACCACCTGAATTTACGCAGCAGGCCTTTGGTCTGGTTGAGCATCTTGATTAAAAGCCCTGGTGCACGATTCTTTCTCTTTCATCCCTGTAGTACTGGGGATTGATCCAGGGCTGCTCTACCACTGAGCCACATCCCCAGCCCTCTTCATTTTATTTTACTTAGCTGCCCAGGCTGGCCTTGAACTTGTGTTCCGCTGCCTCTGCCTCCGGAGGAGCTGGGATTACAAGCCTTCGCCACCACACCCAGATCATTCTTCTTCCTGAATCTGTTTCTTGCCAACTCCCAATCTCCCATCCTCTCCCATCTGCCCTGCTGCGGCCACACTGCCTCCCACAGTCCCTGCCAAGACTGTTCCAGTGGCCTTCTCTCTGCCTAGAATTCCCTTCCTAGGGCCCTGGGGTGACCGCTCCCTCACCTTGTTCAGCTTTGGCTCAGATGTTGCCTCCTCAGAGAGGCCTGGCCGGCAGACCACCCTATTTCCAGCTGTAGCAGGGCAGCTTCTCCCTGACACTCTGACACCCCGACAGCCATCCTGCTCCATGGTTTTATCATTTTAACTGCTTATCACCTGTCTGCCCCCACTAGCTCTCCAGTCCCCTTGGGGCAGGGATCTGAGTTTCTTTCACTGCAGTCTCCAGTTCTTGGACCTGGCACAGCGTCAGCACTCAATGATTAAGTATTAAAAGTGATGCATTTGTAAACCAGGAGGTGTTACATAAAGAAGCTATTTAAGGGCTGAGGATGTAGCTCCGTGGTAGAAAGCTTGTCTAGTAGGTCCAAGGATTCTATCCCCAGTACTGAAAAGGTATGCGGTGGGGTGGGGGGGTAGACTGATTGATTCCAAAACGTAAATCTCCTCTAAAAATAACTTCTTAAGTTCTTTGGGGGAAAATTTATTTGTGATAAATAAACTAAGACTCAGAGACTCAGAGTGACTTTTATGAAATCACACAGCAACTAAATGTCTGGGCAGAGATTCCAGCACAGGGCATTGTGTAAACAAAGGCTTGGCTGAGGAGGGACAGCACACCTATAACAGCGAATCACTGATGGGCAATTTCCAGGCACCCACTGGGAAGGTGGCTTCTTCAGGGATGGTCAAGTCTGGTCACTTGGGGTGGTGACTGCCTAAGTCTGCCTCTAGGAAGCAGAGATAGCAGATGGCTTTGGTGGCAGCATGCCCTTCTCTCGGGCTCGGCTTCCTCTCTGGGTTCCCCTCCCCCAAAGGGTGGCGCATGGCCCTGGCCTGCAGCTCAGCTGGAGGTGAATGTCTCCTTGGCCACCTGCCAGTGTGGGAGCTCCAAGCGGGGCTGCTGTGAGTCTGAGGACAGTCCCCTAGCTAGGCAGCAGTTACACCTAACCCCTCCTTGGAGCCCAGGGCCCTGTCAGGGCAGAAGGCCGACCATATGACCCACCGAGGGTGGAAACCTGCCCAGGTTTCTTGACCCACGCAGAGTCCCCTGCATGGTCAGGTGGCTCAGTGACCCGCAGAGCTTGACCAAGACTGGATGTCCCCAAGGAACTCAGAGGGTGGCTCCAGCCCCTCCAGCCCTGTGCACCGGGGCATTGGCAGGGCACACACTGCCTGGAGGCAGGTGCATGCATCTGTACACACTTGCTCATGCACGGCACACATGTGCACTAACACACTCACGCAGTACTCAAGTACCCACACTCATCACAGCCAGACCCAAACAGGTGTCACCCCAGGCCGCACCAGCTCTGGGCAGCAGCCTATCTCTGTCCCTGTGCAGTGCAAGAGCGGCAGCTCCAAGGTCACACAACACTGCCTTGGCTAAGCCAAAGTGCTGAGCTGGGGCCCCACCTGCAGCCCAGCAGCTCTGTCCGCACAGGGACCCCACCTGTGGGACTCTCTGGCTAATGGAGCAATTGTATCTGAGTGCTATGTGTTCAGGGCTAATTTACCTCTCTTCCCTGCAGTCTGCCAGACTGAAGGGGCTGTTCATGGCAGCTGTGATGTGTTAGCATCAGCCAGGAGAGTGTGTGTGTGTGTGTGTGTGTGTGTGAGAGAGAGAGAGAGAGAGAGAGAGAGAGAGAGAGAGAGAG